GAATAATAATCTTGTTTTCAGAATGTGTGAGATTATTTGTCTTGTTAGTCTGAAAATTTGACTCAAATTAAGTCAGCTAAGTAAATTAAGATTTTAAAACTTGGTAAGATGGACAGTTTTTGCAGTGTTTTCTTGTTCTCACTGTTCCTGCAGCAGAAGGAATCGTTTCAACAGCTGAAATCAGTAAACAAAAACACAATTCATGCACATCCAGAAAGAGGGAAGAAATCAGAAATCCTAGTCTTTATTTGCATTACATCACGCATTAAACATGGATGTTGTTTCGATGAGCGTTTACTTTAAAAAATACCCTGCTAAAATGATATTTATTTGATCTAAATTAGTGTCARTCAGTGTAAAAACTAAAAACTAAAACTAACCAGTGCATATTTTTCTTCAGACATGAATATAAGAATTTAAAACTTGGTTAGGTGGACATTTTTTKCAGTGAACCTAAACATGCTCAAGCATCAGAGCTCAAAAACACGTTTCAAACACTGACCATTTAAGAGCAACGACACTTTGGAAAAACAAACAGTTTTGATGATTTGTTTCTGTAWAAAGAAAAAGAGAAATTACATCAAAATTGCCCTTGGATGCCGACACTTAATCACAACTTAATCAGATTCTGTCTAAAAAACGTTAATGTGCTGTGTTGTATGACTGATTTGTTTAACTTTTGGGTTTTTTTGGTGCAAATGCTGCTTTGCTTCTCATGAGAGTAATGTTTGTTTATGTGCATGCCTCTTAAATGAACTAAACCTAACTAAAAATTTAGTTTAGAATAGTTTACTGTAGTGACTTGTTACCTTGTTCTTACAGAGTTCATGGTTCTTACCTGCTGTATGAGGACGTGCATCCTCACAGGTATACCTGGTATTTAATTTGGTACTTATCTGGCACAAATCAATTACTGCCTGGTACTTACCTGGTATGTACTGGAGTACAAAGCATTTTGAACAGCGTTTTACATTAATAACTATCAGAAAAAAGTACAAGTAAAAATACTTTAACAGAAAATGACTTTGGTGAAAATGAATTTCACTGACAAGAGCAGTAGAAGTCATAAAACTGCTCACAGTAATCGGGAAAGTAAACGTAAAAATACTTTCTCACACACACTCTAAAAAAATTGAGTGTTGGATTTACCTAACCAAGATACGTCAACTGGTTCCATTGAGCTGAGTTGAGTAAACAAAGTAATAAACACAGTTTTTTTAAAGAAAATGTGTAAAYTTAAGACATTCTCACCCCCGACTCGTCACCATATTGATGCTTGGACAGGTACCGTCTGCGTCCAGTTTTGTCACATCGGGTACACTGCAAAAAATGTCCACCTAACCAAGTTTTAAAATCTTATATCCAGCCAAAAAGTCTTTTTGATCTTGTTTTGAGACTGATTTACTAAACAAGAACTGATTGTGTAAGAATAATAATCTTGTTTTCAGAATGTGTAAGATTATTTGTCTTGTTAGCCTGAAAATTTGACTCAAATTAAGTCAAAAATTTCTGCCAATGAAGGAAGAAAATTTTACTTGGTAAGATTCTTGAAATTAGAAAAAACTGAGTCAAATCAAGTATTTCAAGAATCTTACCAAGTAAAATTTTCTTACTCCATTGGCAGAAAATTTTGACTTGGTAAAACTTGGTAAGATGGACAGTTTTTGCAGTGCTCGTATCGGTTATTCACGCCYGCGGCTTTTCTGGGTTGCACCACATAGGGGTCTTTGGGTTGGGGGTCTGTGGTTAATATGGGGGATCAGGGTCAATGGTTAATTTTAGGTATTGAGGTCAGGGATAGGATGTCTGGGGCTAATAGAAGTTCAGTGTAGGGTCTCGGACAGTTAGTTGTCGTGCATCTCCTACTCTTTTCAAAAATATGACAAAGCGCTCCCCCTCCTCCGTCTCATCTCGTTAATAAAAGATGCCAGGGGGGTACCTGACGCGTTAAAAACTGGACGCAGACGGTGACCAAGCGTCAATATTTGAAAGGTTGTGAGTGTGAATTGGTTGGTAAATTGCTCAATTTGATCAACTGGGTTTAGTGGAAGCAGGTAAATTCAACACTTCATTTTTTAGAGTGCATAAACAGCTCCTTCCATGATGAGTTCTGCTCATATTTAAATTTGTAAAGTGTGACAAAATGTCAAATTGTAAAGAAGTATATAATTTTTTTTATGTTTTAAATGTAACAAAATAAAAGTTGTGATTAAAAACAATAAAAACAGGTCCTCGAAAATGACTTGAGTAATGTAATGAAGTAAATGTACGATGTTATTGTACACCTCCAATACTGTGAAATGTGGTCCTAAGATTTAAAAAGCTGAAGTGCTCAGTTYAATTTGTTCTGAGTGCTGTGAAAGTCAATGAGACCCCATGTCTGTGGTCTGAAAGCAAAACGAACCAACGACTGAAATGTGGCTCACATTACTTAAGAATCTCTTAAGGCAGAAACAGAACAATSCAAAAACTCGGTGTGGTGCTCAGAAGGTAAACATTAAGCCGTACAAAACAAATGCTAATATTCCTCTGGTTTAAAAAAAAAGAGAAAAGGTTTGAGGAGGTTTGGCTTCATGAATCAAATTTAGCTCTAACTAGCGGCAAAATGCATTTTAAACGAGTGTTTATGAAACCACATGTGGGTGAAAACACATGTATGAATGTTAAAATTTTACTGTCAGTTTCGAAATGGCTGCGGATAAACATGAGAAATTGTAGCTGAATCTGAGTTAATTCAAGCCATCTTGTTTCTCCAAACAAGGAAATAGACTTTTAATTGTTGCAGATGAGAAACAGCTTTCTGTAAAGAAGTTAAAAGCGCGGGCACATCAAATTAAATGAATGTCTTTAAATGTCAGAGTTTTAAACTTAAAATGTTCTGGGACAAAGTGATTTTGGTTAAAACTTTGAATGACTTCATGTCTCATTAGTGAAATCCCTCAGAATGTGTTGGCACTAAGAGCGTGTGTTGAGAAGGACTCTCGGCTACTACCACGCCGAATTTTAGCTCGTYATCTGCAATATTTACTGAGTTATACCCATTTCTGTGTTTTTTTAAGTTAATTGGCTGTGGTGGCCATTTGGAATTGGATCGACTCCAAACACTAATCAGCTGTAGATGTGCATTAAATGATAATTTTCTGTGAGTTTAATTCAAACCCACCCAGTGGTTCATGAGATAATTTGCTAACAGACATCCAAACAAATCCGCACACAGGCTTCTGAAGTGTAGCTCAATTGCTCTGTTGTGTAGTTACGTAATATGGGACGCACTGGATGCTTTTTTTTTTCAAAGTCCTGGTCCTCCTCCTACAACTCTCCCATATTTGTCAGACATGTTTTTCATTATTATTTCAGTCCCAGCGGTGAGATGTCATAACATGTTGTGCACTTTCCTTTATCAGCTCCATATTTCCTCATTCCCACAGTTTGGCATGCAGGTTTTTTTATTATTATTATTATTATGCCACATTGTGCAGTTTAAGAGTTTACACAGATAGTTTTTTTCAGATATTTTCAACACAGCTTTAAAATGTGGGTCCACGGTCAATGTAAATAAAACATTGTGACTCACAACAGAGCCATTTAGGCTGAATTTAGTCTGGGCAGGTAAATAAATATGGCTGGTAAACTAAACTGTTGGCCTATTGTTAGTCACTTTGAGTAACAAACACATATAAATATGCACAACAAAACATTTCCACCAGGTTGTTTGAATCAATTAATTAATTATTACTTTTTTCCTACAATAATTCAAAGTCAGCTTTTCTTTTTAAGCTGCAGAGCTCAGTGATTGGAGCAGAGTGACCTGGAGAGGGTTAATGTGAGCAGCACTGTTCCCTCCTCCTGACGCTGACACACAGTACACACACACAGCACACACACACACACACACACACACACACACACA